TACATACTTATATATTATGTTAAAAATGGCAGGTCATTAATCAGTTTATTGATGAACTATGAACATTTTAAGTTAAGGCAACGAGAGAAGTAACATTAATTATTACTCATCCGGCTTTCCTATACCATTCAAAAGTATAATAATTCAAGAAACATATTTTGTTCAAAACTAATGACATTATTTTTATTACATTATTCCGAATTTAGTAGGGAAAAAAATGATGTATAGGTTTTTTTAACTACCATTTTAAAATTATACTAAACGTTAATCACTATTTTTTATAATTTAATATGCAGCCAAGGGGGACGAATGTAAATAATTGGCCCAAATGCAAATGTGTTTTTTTTTTAAATAAAGCAATTGAAAATTTTTAGGTTTAATTGAAACGTTTTAATTATTACATAGTAATGTATTGCGTTTATAGTTAAATTGTTTGTTTCATATAAATTGTTAGTTTGTTCAACAAAAAAAATTGTATCTCTTTTTATGTGTAACTTCACAACTTTTTAGGTCAACGGTTATTATTTCACAAAAACACAATGTTCGATAAAATTAACTAGCATTACATAGAAAAATATTCACATAGTTTTAACGAGAATTGAATATTTTATTATATCTATCACAAGTTCAATTTACCAACAAACAATATATATTATTAATAATACAACATTTAAAACGGTTGGTACAAATCGTTGTAATTGTATTACAAGTTATACAAATAGTTCGTCGGCTTTATGTTATTATATGGAAACATATCAAAATATTAGTTTTTGAAAATAGACCGCAACTATTAAACTTTTGAAAATATGTGTACAGCTGTTTTTGTTATTTTCTTTTCGAGTTGGAAAGTATTATTGTAAGAACAAAATATGTTACTTTTAAACGGCAATATGCGGCTCACTATCTTGTGGGTGTTTCAATAAGTACCGTCGCGCGCGCAAATTCCCAAGAAAAGCAAACGGCGATAAAGAAAAACTAAAGCTTCTCGCAAGTGTGCTTGTTTCGCACCGAAAGCTCGTTAAGGTCGCAACTCATTATTGTTTACATTAAATACTCGACCACTTTACCAGCCACTAAATACCACTATACACATAGAGTTAGACAATTACAACTATATTAGATACACAAACTTTTACAACAGCTGTTGGTTTAACAAAAAAATATGCAGGGCCATTGTATTTTTAAACAACCTTTCTTGAGAACGTTGATCGCCAGACGCCAGCTTTTCTAGCTAGGTACATGTCGCGTCGTGGTTTTGTCAGTTGCGCATTTTCTTTTCTACGCTTTCACTAACAAGTTGTGCACCATCATTTTGTGTTAATGAGTTTTTTTTTCCTATCAATTTACAGTGTGTCAAATCGCAGGTAATCAACTAGAGTTAAAAAAAAAAACCGATAAAATATTCACAAAATTTGTATTTTGTTAAGAAAAAAAAACTAGCGTTCTGCAAGTAATATTTCGTTATAAATATATATTGTTTGTTATAAACTGTACCTAACGACTTATCACGTGAACTTAGTATACTTGGAAAGGTTGAGGGAATTTATCAAATCTAAACACAAAGAGAATTAGCTGATAAGAGTTGATTGACCAAAGACAGAACATCGGCTAATCATTAGTCGTGATCCAATAAGGCTGTTCTTCGATAGAACGATTGTTTTTTTTTCTTTCTAATAAACAACAACCACAAATATAATATGAAACGAAGACGTCCTCCAGGGGGGGGGGGGGGTAATCGTAAAGTGACTTTTTGATAATATTCGCTCGTGTCGGACTGTATATGGCCCGCGTTATAGATACAGCGAACACCAGAAGGTTTTTAGATTTATGTTATCCATTCAGATTTCACAGTCATAATAATATAATGCCTACCGCCCGCTCTTGTAACGGGTCCGATAACCACCCTTTCACCCTCCCCCCAAAAACACCCTTTGCGCCGTCATGTCGTCCGCTGGTTTCTGCGATTACGGGCACGTAGCTACCAAGAAAACATCCATTTGCACTCGGTACGAGTTTCAGCAGTCGCTGGCAAACAACCACCGCCAACCCCTTGTGAAAGTTCTCGTTATTCTGTTAATCTTATTTATTTTTTCTCCACCGCCATATGCCGTACACGTCGTTTGCTCATATAATATACTCGCTCTATCTAGTGCGTTGACCTTAGATTGCTTTGTCTTCGTCTCATTATAGAACTGAAAACTTCCCGGTGGCCCATAACCGTGTTATACGATTTAGTTTCTGTGATGAGCCTCGTTCCTAAAATTCGTTTGTTCGTTTGTTTTCAAAGAAAACATATTACTCCAACAATGAAAATAGGGCCAAATTAGAGCCAAAGTAGTGATGTCTACATTGCGGCCAAGTCTGCTATTCCTTTAGTTCATAACCTCACTTACTTTCATGAGCAAAATTGCAACTTCCAGATTTGTCCCTTTGGTTACACTATAAGACCTACCTTTGTGCCAAATTTCACGTTTCTACTTATGCGCATACAAATGTTTTATAATTTTGATGATGAGTGAGTGAGTGAGTGAGAAAATTTTTTAATTCTCCCCTTTTGAAAAGGCTTACTATTAAGGACTCAATTTTCTAAAGTATCTTAAGCTACTCGAACTTCGAAAACTTGGCTAAATTGGTCCGTACAAAGATACACTGGCATTGCTGAAACTTGGCCTGGCACACTGTTTTGCGCTCAGATACCGAAGTCGGTCGAGCACGTTATAATATATATGTTTAAGTAAGTATAGTATAGTTGAGTTGCTTGGTTTCGCATATGAATAAAGACAAAAGATATCAGTCATAAGAAAATCAACCATGACACGGTCCAAGGGGATAGCGACCGTTCTCATCTCACTCTTCTTCACTCCAAATCCAACCTGCAGTGGTGTTTTAATTATAAATTAAAAGCGACTACGCGCAACAAGTACAATATACTACGGCCTCTCTCTCAATTTCCTCAGCTCTTGTGTTTGACGTTATACAGCTCAATAGATAATTTTGAAAGGTATACAATTTGATGACAACACGAAGTAGGAGGTTTGAAATTAACACACCACGTGAAATGTATATTTATGCATATGGGATCCACATATCACAAATGTATGAACTACTTGTGTGCGGTTACATTAGTGTTCTATTCGAAGTACAACTCGATTAAACAAAGCAGCAACAAACTGCTAAGTTAACAAAATAAGTTATGAAAGTTACTTCTCCGTGCCAATGGCCCGGCGGGTCTTTAAAGTCTAATAAAGTAAAATGACAATATTATTATTAGCTTTATTTCTATGTGCGTTTTATTTTTTTTCGAACATTTTCGATCCGAATGTTTTTACCTGAGTTAGCTGGTGACATGAGACCCTCGGATAAGAGATATTTTATATTCTGGAAATCGCTTTTACTCGTGACCACCGCGACCGCCATCCCGCAGAAGTAAAACTATACCCGATTATGATAGGGTTAACCGCAGATATTCGCATAAAGCCGGCATGGCAGACGGAAAACGCACAAGAAAAACTTATTTCAATATTTAAATTAGACACCTAAACTATATAACTGTCACGCTTTGGTCGGGCCTTTTGAATATTTTAGCCCTTTTCCCGGCCATCGGGACAATATTCAATTTACTCTAAACGCGCATAATTTGTGTATTTATAACGTTATATACGCGATCCTTTACCCACTCGTTTCCGGCCGGCAACAGGACGTGCCTGTTAAGTTTGTACTTGCCGTTCACAAGGACCTTGCGGGTCCGAGGAAAACATTTCAATTTGGTCTAAACTCTCAAGTATAATAACATACAAATCTTCATCAAACGGTACCTGTCTGACGCGCGCGGTCACCGGCCGTGGAGGAGTTGTTATTTATGCATTATATTATATACACCATAAATGGCTCTTCTTATTTTGCATAATGATCATTATACACCGTCGCGCAGTGGAAAAGATTGAAAACATTTTTCACTTGCGCGTTTCTTTCGCTAATCGAGAAAACTCAGTAGCAATGGATGTCACGGAGTCATTTTTTATATGGCCTACCCAGACTATATAATAAATAACTTTTTCCGACAGGTCTCTCTCTCTCTCTCTCTCTTTTGTCCTCGCCCCGTCCGCACCACCGCCTCAACCGGTGTACGGTTGATACAGTGTCTCAGAGGTCTTAAGCACCGAGACATGTATCAAATTTTTCATAATAATCATCATAATAATAATACCTATATAACAACTTCACATGCCACCTCATTGCGATCATTTTACACGGTTAAGAACGCAGTAGACGACTACACTCGAGTGTCCGGTGTATAGGTAGGTAGGTAGGTATGTAATAGACCCATGTCAGGTGAACACAATAAAAAAAAAACAACAAGGAGAACGCACACAGACGGGGACGTGAATCCGCGGACGATTGGATTACATCAAAACGATTTAAAATTGATAAAAAAAAAAAAACGTGTTTTTTTATGTTTTAATTGTTTTTATTAATTAAAACTCGATCTGACGGCTCGATTGCAGTTGTTGTACATTCGCCGTGGCCGAACACTCTATGTTATATTTTTGCATATTTAATTAGAATAGTAGAATGTTTTTTTAAAACATAGCAAGGTACTTGAGTAAGTTTATATAATTTAATTTAAAAATCACTATGAAAGCAATACTGTTTGAGAACAAAATAATAATATAACATTAGCTCTTGTATTTTTAATTAAAAAAAACTTTGTTCGTTTGTATCTGTTTTTTTTTTTTTTATGCGAATCAGATAATTGAATTAAAAGACAAAAAGTATTTAGTTTCCATCCGCCATTTGTGTTTAATAAAATATGATAATGTTATAATATGTATATAAAAGTTATAACAAATTAAAGTAACCAATAATAAACTCGTATAGTATTATTACTTCCTTTTATTTAGATGGGTCTTATAATTTCTGTAAATTTAATTGAATTAAAACATTTATTGTAATGCTATAACCAGCCAAAAACGTCACTCAATCTAATAATATGCATTTTTATAAGTTTTAACATGATGTATCATCTTATAAATAGCTTAGTAAATCAATCGTAAGTGTTAATAAAATTCGTCAATAATATAACAACGAATAACGTCTGATTGACAAATAAATAATATAATGGTGGTAATAACATTCAGTATAGATGAAAATCGTGGCTTTTGTTAAATCAATTTCCGGGTATGATGCTTCTTGAAAACATGCTGTTTTATTTCTAAGAATAATTAAGTAGCTTCTGAACTATTCAGTTATTTATAGTATTATTTAATATTTGCTAATACCGTTGCGTACACATAATGGAAGAGGGAAGATGGAATTTAAAGGGTGATGTACAATTTTCGAAATGGCATTGTGGTAAACATACTTACATTCATTATTATATGTATACATTAATTTCAATGTATTGTTATTTAAAAATAAATCTACTCTTCAGAAATTTAACTTCAGTAATTTTCATATTTTCACTAAATACGTTTTAAGTAAATGTGAAATCTTCAAATAGTAATTATTTTGTTTATATATATTTATATTATTCAAGTTAAAATAAGTACAGAGTAATTTTTGTTGCATATTATGATTGTAAAAAAAACAAACCAACTGATACAATTTGTTTCAATCAGACCGGTTAAGTGGGACCACACAGTAATAATTAACATACGTTTATACGTTGGTATGAGTAAATGATGAACAACAATATTAGTTTTAAAAGACAACTTTAACTTTAAAATAATACATTTTCAATGTGGTTTTTTTTGTTTTTTTTTACTTCATAGTATTTGAACTTATACTTAGTATACTTAGTATCCATGATGATATTCTCCTTTCTGGCCATGGAATTTTGGAGGAATACCGTGGTAGAATGGGCTGTGATGGGGAGGAGGACCGTGGTAGAAAAGGCCGTGCGGGGGACCATGTTCATGATGTTCGTATTTGTCGTGTTCTTCGTGCTCGTGGTCGTGTTCATGTTGTTTGTATTTGTCGTGATCATCGTGCTTGTAGTCGTGTTCTTCGTGCTTGTGGTCGTGTTCATGGTGTTTGTATTTGTCGTGATCATCGTGCTTGTAGTCGTGTTCTTCGTGCTTGTGGTCGTGTTCATGGTGTTTGTATTTGTCGTGATCATCGTGCTTGTAGTCGTGTTCTTCATGCTTGTGGTCGTGTTCTTCGTGCTTGTGGTCATGCTCTTCGTGCTTCTTTTCGTATTCGTGCTTTTCGTACGGTAATCCACAAACAGCATGCACGACCACTACGGCCACAACACACATGACAATAAACTGTAAAAAAAAAAAAAAAATGTCAAAATATTATAATATGTGCATTGAATGTAGGTAGTACTTGTACTAGTAAAATGTAGTATAAAGATATTGTCATTGCACTTGTTTTTTTAGAACAAATTTGATCAATTATAACACTAATGTCTCAAAATATAACGACCTACATGCATTCAGATAAAGCATTCTTAAGCCTGAACACAGGTGAGAACCATTTTAGAAGTCAGGTGGTTTAAGGATAACGAAAAAGCTTATTTATTAAGGAGTAAAGATAGGCAATATTTCAAATATGCCACCTAATTTTAAGGTGTAAAAAAATACGTTTTTCTAGTCATATTACTTTTAAAGTTATTTTTCTCCGAGTTATGGCGAAAGTTTAGTAAAAAATTACTTTCTTAGAAGTCATTTTCTGACGTTTCTGTTGGATGAACTGTATTTTTTTTTGTGAAGCTTACTATTTTTTCCATAGGGTCTAAAAGGCTGAATTGTTATTTAGCTTTTAGAAATCTAGTCAGATTTATTAGAAAAAACTACAATAAAATAAAAATATAAACGTTTATAATACATTTTAAAGAACAAAAACAAAAAATCGGCCTTTTACCCCGTTTACATAGGGAAGAAAGTTAACTTTATAACAAAAAAAAAAAATTAAAATCTGTTCAGTAAAGACTTCAGAAAGTAACTTCGCGTTTTTAACTTCGAAGTTCTCCGTTTTTCTTATTAGTTAAATACTCGATAAACTTTGTTGTTGTTCGAGAAATTTATGTAACTAATAACTAACATATTATAATACAACGATAATTTATCTATGATTAAAGTTGAACATAGTTATTAATATTTTACGAATAGTTGTAATTATTCGTTATCTTTTAATTGTTTCCAGTTTGTCTAAAGATTTAAAATACTTTATTGTGTACACAATAATCCAAATTAAAACTATTGACTTTAATTATTTTATTTAAAATTAAAAAAAAATATCTTATTTTTAATTTCTAACTGAAAAGTGTGTTTAAAGAAAATTGTTAATTATCTAAGATAATATTTGAAACGGAAAATAAAATAATTAATTAATATCTAAAACAGAATTTTCCCTAACAATGAAAATATATATTATGTATGGTACACTTAAAAATAATAAATTGTATTTCTATATGATTAAACCAAAATCTAATTTCTTATTATTTGTATTGGTTAAATAAGTCTAAACTAGTCAAAATGGAACTTATATAAATATTTGTTTTTTCACATGAAGGTGGTATAATAATATGATAACTGTACTATTAATTGTATTATAATAATATGATAACAATAGAAACATTTGTTTTAATTATTTATAAGCAACTTAAATGTGTCTTGAATTTATACAGCTAGGGTAACGGCAACAGTTATTGACACTATTTATCAGTATTATGGAAATGCAGTGTTTTTTATATCAGATTAACAATTTGTTTTCAATGAATTTAGTATAAAAAATTTATCTCAATAACTTTTATCTGATATAAAATCTGATTCTATATTCTATCTGATATAAAAAAAACACTATATTGCCGAAAATTGGGGTAGTGCCAATCACTGGCGCCGTTACCCTAGCAATGTATCAAAAAAACTTTGATGTTGTCAAATAATTTATTAACATTTTTTAAATCATGTTTTAATATTTGTGAAATTAACTGTTTCAAATAGAATGTTGTAAAACTATTTTCTGTATTTTAATAATATTTAAACACAATTTTGTTTAATATTATCTTTTAAACATTAAATCTCCTGCCAAACATCATTTAAATATATTAAAAACCTTTTTGACAACATTTTGAAACGTTAATATATTTTTGCTGTTTGAGTAATTTAATATTAAATATAATTATAATAGTAAATAGTAGTTATGTAATAATTAAAAAAAAATATTAACTCTAAATTTACTATATAAATAACCATAGTATAATATAATTAACAAATAACAAACTATATGATTTTTAAGATTATTGACTTACCGATTTGTAAGATGCCATGTTGAATTAGTATTTATTTTTAACTATTGTACAAAAAACAATAGTTATAACAATAAAAGGTTGAATGCTGCAAGTGGAGTGTGAACACAAAATACGGCGTTAATGGTTTATATAGTGCGGTCAACGGCTATTGGTTTCATACTGTTGTGATACAATTTACTATTATGTATATATTTTTTCTTCATACTCCAACAACGTTCATATAGTATCCATTACCTTGAAATGAAACGCACCTAAGGCCAAGGATATTCAAAACACACAGGACAAACCCGTCTTTCATTTAAGTTTTTCCAGCTCCGCGCGAAAACCGGTTGATGTTACTCATATTATGTTGACCGTTAATAATAATTTTATTATCATTAGATTCATTATTATTGAAGATCCGCAGGCATATTTTAAGATCACAGGTTGACAGCCAACTGCGTATTAAGATGTAATAACATCACGCGTTCATACCGTATACTTAAGTTCTAACACGTGATCGCCACAAAAAGTTATATGAGTATTATATTATAGTAGTATAGTTACCAATCGATGCTCTTTGGACGACGCACCGGGGAAAACCCCCGTCTTAATAGATAGAATAAGGTATCTAAAAAATGTTTTATTTTTCTATTATCATAATATTATATTAGTAGTATGTAACCGAAATTGTAATTAAAAATATTTAACCGTTGCCCCTTTAATGGCCGTATTGTTCTCATAGAAAAGCTTAATCGATTTTTTAATAGAAATTATTTGAAACCTAGTGTGTGACGCAAAAGTCATCACTCTGGTACACTGCGACGACACATTGTGGTTTGATATGGACGTTAATGGCACGAGATGAGCTTACACAACATGTCTTGACACCGTGCATCATCTATTCATGTGCTCATGTGACGTATTATAATAATATCAGCGTATTATTCAATATTAAAAATGTCACTTTACAATGATTAATTCCCACTATGGCGGTTTGCGAACGCGAGTATGTTTCCCGAGTACCATTTCTGGTACACAGTGCGAACGGCTTGTGTCTGGTGAATTTTTTACCTCTGAACTCTTCATTAAAAAAAACAAACGTACCTATCACCGACGTATATCCGACGGTTAATATCATATAATTATTATTATGCAATACACGTGACGAATATAATTGTTTTCTTTTAGAGAATTCTGCTTCGTTAAAAATGTTTAGGCAGTTTTGAATAATATAGCGCGTTAATTACAATGACGGTTTGCTTGAAATAAATTGTCTTGTAATATCTCTTAATCGTTTTTTTTTTTTAAGTTGCCTTAACGACTTTAATAACAACACAAAATATTAGTTTTATAATCTGTTAAGTTAACGCCATCTTTACTTCGTAGTGCATTTTAACACTTAATCAGATATTATAAATAATATCATTACACAATCTTCTTTTCAGTGTTTGCAGCTTGGTATTAAACCGAATTGTGCTGTACCGTACACAAAGTTAACAGCCGTATTTTCTTTCAGCGTTAGCTAATTCCTCGATGTTCATCAGTCAAGCTTTCACGGGTAGGTAGGTATCCAAGTCCTAAATTCCCATTCTCAGATTTACACGAACTATCAACCTCACGTAATCCTTTAATCCATTTATGACAATGAAGGATACAAAACCTATAGCAAAAACCTTTTATTTAATGTGCAAAAAAAACCAAACCAAAACAATTAATTCAGTTTTAAACAATGACTATAAAAAATAAATAAATTATTAATAGAAACATCAAATCCAATCTGAAAGGCTCGCTATTTGAGTTTTGGACAAAATAAACACGAGACAACATAATCACGAGCACAATGTTTTTAACTAAAACTGTTTTTGTTCACTGTTGTTAAATAATCAATAAGCATAAGTTCATGACTGTGCTGACAAATGTATTGTATTTTTGTTTTAAATAGTTAACGAGTATAAAATATTATTTGAATCATCAATTCAAATTACAAATGAATATCTAATAAACATTTAAACACTCGATTATTCTGCAAAATGTTTATCTCATTTGATATTATTTATTGATATAAATATTATATTCATTGTTGCATGAACGTGGAAGTCCGACTGTGGAAAATCAATCTAAAATATTTACATGTTAAGCAATAATAGTTTTTTTTTAAAGTTTAGTGTACCGCATGATTGTGTAAAACAGCTGTTGAAAAACAACAATCTGCACAATCTTTATACGTGTAAACATGAAAATTAAATATAAACTATTTCATAAATTATAAAATAATACAAATTATGAATTACATATAAGAGAAATAAAATATATCATTTTTTCCGTCTATGTTTGCTGAAAATTAATTTAAATTGTTGCGGTATTAAAACTAAATATGAACTGATTTAAACGGCAAACGATTGTTTTCAGAATTTGCAAAATAGTACTGATCAAAAAAAGATCTCGTTCTTTAGCCTACTCCAAAGTATTGAATTTTTCATCAATGTAGCTCAGGGCAATCCATGCAAATCAGGTGGATGTATAGAAAATACATTTTTCTCCAGGTTTCCAATTTCAGCAAGCCCATATGACTATTATGACCTTTTTTCGACACTTAAACTAAAGACAATAGAAAAAAACAAAACTTAATGTATACCTACAGTCTATTTTACATGGATCATGGATTTTTGTTATTTCATTTATTTATTTTTTTAGTATTGCGGATTTAAATGCAAACAAAAAATAGGAATCGCAATAATTGTGTCTAGAGAAGTTTAATATTTGATAACTATTAATTAGATATCAAGAAGTGAAGCAGTTTTAATAATTCTTTTTATTTTATTAAATTTTACCTGCGGGGATTACTTATTTTCCGTTTTTCGTTTCGTTTTCTACTTACCTACTCACCAGGGGAGCAGCTGGATAAACCGCATGGTTTCTAAGTATTCCATATTTTTTTGTAAATCATCGTATGTAGTCTGTCGGTTCGAATCACCTACCGAAAATATTAAATTAGTTTCTTGAAATACCTTGTTTCGAAAATAGATTAAAATAGGTCAAAAATTATTTTAATTACAATGTAGAATTGTAATTTATTTCTATAATAATTACATATTCGTTTAATAACTTGATGACTAGCCAGCATGAATATGACCACTGCATATTTTGTTATTGCTGTCGTACCATGTCCGGCTAATATTATATCTCAATGAAAACAAAATCTAATAAATGTGTATCTCATAGTGTGGCTCATGTGTCTTGTAACAGACCTAAGTTGTAGCCCCCAAATTGTTAGCTTTTGAAACATCTTTTATTATACCTACTGATAACTCGGTTAATACTTAACCAAGCACCTCGTTTTAGACCGTCAAGTTTTCTGATGGATTTTGCAGTACTAATATTCGAGCTACTTCGAGGTAGTAATAAACAGAAACATAATATAGATATTATCTCTATGTTTATACACTATAATATATCCGTCTCTGTCCAAAAAAGGGGACAATCCTTTTTAGTTTTGTGCCGGCATGGCATCCGCACAATAACCATAATAATGGCACTGGCATAGATAATTAATAATAACATCAATTTTAATCGTGCATATGTGTGTGCTCACAGGTACATTGCGGTCACGCAGCCGATAAAATACGCAAAGCACAAAAACAACCGGCGAGTGTGGCTGACAATAGTGTTGGTGTGGGCCATCAGTGCAGCAATTGGCAGTCCCATTGTACTGGGGCTGAACAACACCCCGGACCGGACGCCGGACCTCTGCCTTTTTTACAACTCGAATTTCATCATCTACTCTTCCCTATCCTCGTTCTACATACCGTGCATTATCATGGTGTTCCTCTATTGGAACATATTCAAGGTAAGTCTGACCGTATGCCAAAAGACAAAAACAACATACCTATACGCACAGTCCATACGCTTGTCACTCGTTTTGTTTGGGGTCATCCGGTAAAGTTTAACAGGTCGCTCGGCGCGGTTTAATGTTATAAATTTTAGGCATTTTTCATTAATTTGCACGATTCGTTGTCTAAAACTAAAACTATTCAATATTCTCTGAACCTGACGGTATTGTTCGGATCCTAAGAAGTTACTCTATCGTTCGGTACAATAATCTATCAAATCTAAGCTCGTTTAATATGGTTTCATAGTAATTTTAAATGTTTTTTATTATTTCAATAAAGTCAAACTCAAAAAAAGTTTTTTTTTAATCACAATTTTAGGATATAATTTTTAAAAAAGCTTAATACTGTATTGATAATTTATTATTATAAATAATTAATCGTTATTCATTGAGTATTATATTAATAAATATTTTTCCAATTGAACCAACTGATTTTCTGTTTTCCAAGGGAACCGGTTTCAACGCAAAGTTCACATAAAATTGTTTAACTTTTTTCTTTGAATAGACTATGAGCACAATTTTTGAACAACGTAAAAAAATACGACATGGACCACCCCAAAGTTTTCTTAAAACAAAATAAAAAAATACATACAAAATGACACCTGTTTTGGTAGATGATATTTTATCGTCATGCTCTGATGATACAGACTTAAATTCTGATGAATCTGATTACGTAGGTGATATTGAACGTAAATCAAATTTAAAAATTATGAGTCAAACGTTAACTTCCGCTCGTAGAATTAATGTTTCTAATAGAAATGCAACCTACGTAGTAGCCGCATTTGTGGCGTCAGCAGGGTTAGATATTGCTACTGTGTCTGTAAGTAAAGATACGATTCGTCGAGCTAGAATAATTAATATGGAACCAACATCAAAATATATACAATCTTCCTTCAAACCTGATTTAAAAAAAACTTTTGTTGAGTTTGACTTTGGAAATAATAGAAAAACGTTATTTAAAAATTAAAACTACTACGAAACCGTATTAAACGAGCTTAGACTTTATAGATTATTATACCGAACGATAGAGTAACTTCTTAGGATTCAAACAATACCGTCAGATTCAGAGAATATTGAAAAGTTTTAGTTTTAGACAACAAAATGTGCAAATTAATGAAAAATTCCTAAAATTTATAATAATAAATCGCGTCGAGCGACCTGTTTAACTTTACCGAATGATCCCAAATTTTGATAAACTTATTTATTTACTATAAAGATTAATTTTTAGTGGTGGCCGAAAAAAAACATTTTTCTTTTTTTTGCGCCACCCTAATCATACGGAATCAATAACAACAAAAATATTAGTGATGTGGATATTACGCACATAAACGATTGGGTAATTTACCAGGTAAAACCGGCTTACAATAATTACTGTAATACACGAGAAAAACATACAGAACAAGCCAACTATAATAATAATGGTTATTATAGAGACATAATAAATTATTTATACTTGGAATAACTAAATAAATAGTCGCCGATCTAACATTTAGTTAGCCCAACTATTTATTTAGTTATACCGTAGGGCGTAGACTGTACGTTTATTGTGTCCCTAATATTAATATAGGGACTCCCTATATTAAATATAATTTTAGTTGGTCCAACTAAATTCAAGTTCCAACTAGGTATGTAATTGTTTCAGTGTTAAATTGCTCAAGAATCTGTAAACCGTGTTAGTGTTAATCATAATATTATGATTAACACTAAAAACCAATCACGTGTGATGAGATAATTAAAATTAATTAACGAAACGTCGATTAATTGATAATAATTGAATTAGTTAATTTTGGAAAACCAATGATCAAGTATATTACAATTAATCCATACATCACTTCTTTATTAAACAGTACTCATATGTTATACCAATTTTGTATAATCAAAAGCTTCGTTTTTGAGTTGGTTGGACACATTTTGAGTTTTTCCATTTGAGCTTTAAAAAATATAAAACAAATGGTTTAAATTAAATAAGATAAGGCGACAAAAATGAATAATCAAACAATACGAGCTATACTTAAGTAATAGAGTTAATTACTAATGATAAATTACTTAGGCAATTCAAATACTGTTTTGAGAAATAAATTTAAACCGAAAATATGTATAATAATAATAATAGTACTTAATATTTTCCAATCGCATCGACTAATCATCACCATAACACCAACTAATGTGATTACTAAACTCGACCGTTCATCAATATTAATAATTATAATAATACTGCAGCTGCTGCGCAGTGGTAAGCTAATGAGAATTGATATTATATATTTATACATTTCAATGTCCACTAAAATATATTGAAATTCATTTCATATTCTAAAATCCGTCAGGAAGTCGTTAATTTCAGCCATAGTAATAAGTAATAATAACAATCTAAAATGTTTTTTATTACATACTAGGTGCTACTTATTGTTAATTATATATTATAATTTTTTTGTGGTGACTGCCATGCGCTCCATCAGATATAATATAATGGTAACTTCTAAATTCTCGTCTGTATGCTTAAGGCGTAGGTACCTATTATTGTACTCTGCGAGTCGAAACAGGTTAAAATCGAAAAACCACCTAACATAAATTATAATATCCGTACCATTTATCTAATATCCATATAGCCTACAGGAGGCTTGGTCAATCTGAAACATATAGTTCATATTTATTGTAATTTTATAATAATTTCTTCGAAATAGAATATATTACGATAATAAGATTCAGTGTTTTGCGTTGTTGTGGGAAATTCCAACAGACGTACACGTAATCGTATTTTAAAATAAGTAATTCAATTTTTTATGAATTATAAATTATAATATAGAAAATGTTTAACAAAAAATACATCAATCCTATAAATATTTGTATTCTTATTAAATCTGATATTATACTATTCCGTTAAATTTTGATTTAAAAATACTGCTCATTAAGTTTAAAGTTAATGCTATCAAGAGCTGTACGCAGCTTTATTGTTTAAATACATTTAATGTACACTTAAAACGGCGCTACTCACTAAATAAATTAAGTATAGGCAATTTTTTCAAAATATAAATTTAAAGCCTCGACTATTATGTGTAATATTTTGACTTGTACAGTGTACACTTGATTAATAATACAGACACTGTGATTTTGATTCGCATGAACTTGATTTAGGTATGCTTTTAATAATTTTGTAATTTACACATTCTACGGAAATCAATACAATAGACAACGGATATTATTATTATTCTTATGACTAAAATAGTAAAACGCTTGATTTTACTACCGACACTATTTTATTATCATTATTATTAGTGTCTTACAACATTGTGTATACTTAATGAATGTGTAATCCATAATAACTGACGTATTATTATCGTTATTACAATTATAACGGCGGCAAAGCGATGAGAGATGAAAATTTGCGATTTTTTATTAATAAAATAAAGTGATGAATCTAATACAGACACGCGTAACACGACTTCGTTATCCTTGTGTATACATTGCAAAACCAATCCAATTCTGCTAAACCATTGTACACGCTTGGTGCGTAGTCATATTATATCCTCGGGTTACCGCTTTATATTATTTTTATAATTTTAAAAAACAGGTTACCACAACGTGTAGTCGAACTAACTAACTAAGTTACTTTGTAAGTATCATTGCAATACATCTATATGTATGTATGCATGTCTGTGTGTGTTGAATTTTCCTCGTGCATCTTCTAGAAGCTTTGTATTTTTTCGATAAAAACTGATTGCTGGGATACATACGTTTTCCGAACGCGTTGACAAAGCTATATATATATATATATATTTATACACACAATAAAACAAATTGGGATGCGATTATTTTTTATCAACGTGCGTTCGACATTTTACATTCATGAGCTTTTTTGTACAGTGCAATTCCGCCTGCCACCGTGTTCCTCTTATCGAAACCATTTTGTGCGTTTCCTCGCGTTAATATATTATACACGTGCACGTCGACAAAATGTTCGTCGATAAAATATAGATAATGATTTATTCGTTAAGTACAATTTGATAGCTATGCTCTCCGCGACGATAACGTATAAGTGTGCAATTTTAAACTGATTCCACGACCGATAAATTCAAAAGGTATACTAATAAGAACAATCTATTGGCTCTTTGTTGGAACTCCTCTCTTAGAATCTAGTGTTAAAACAACATGCGACTTTTTTTTCCAGTAATTATTAACAAAAAAAAAAAAATAAAGTCGTTTTCAACAAAAAAAAAAGCGATGATCCGGAACGAGTAACAGAAAAGAAGAACTTTCCTAACGCTGATTTTAAATCGTCCATTTGCCCTTTTGTTCGCATATTAATTCCCCGCCCCCAATCCTCATACCGTTCTATAATATACAATATTAGAGAAGTCACCCAAAAAAAAAAAAAAAAAGGTTCTCGGTCGGTTCAAACTTCAAAGACTCGCCGATAAAATGAAAGTTTCCGAATTAAACAGCTGTATGAGAACTGAAAAATTTATATATTTCGCTAAAACCAAACAAGTCCCATTATTATATACTCTCGTGTTGACTACATCTCACATGGGATTACACCGACGGCACTCTTTTATCGAAAGGGCGTGTTTTCTTGTAAAGTAATACAATTTTGACGACGGTTTTCTTCTTCTTCTTACTGCTCACCTTATGTTATTGTAATTGCTACAAATAATACATTTTAGTAGTGGTTATATTTTATGTAGTAATAAATAAACTTCAACTTATCACACAAAAATAATGTCGACTATTGTTTTTGGTTCTCTTTATGAACTATAATATTAATTTTGTAACAATAAAACCTTTTACATAGGATTTTGTTGGGTAATGTTTACAATTATAACAACAATTGAATTCCAAAGTAACGTTAAACAAAACCGTTTCATTTGTATGCCTACCAAAATCAACCGAATACTCCTAGCACTACCAACTTGATGTTTTAAATAGAACACAATATATACAATATAAATAATTTTGAATTC